GTCAATAATAATTTCCGATGTGAGCAGTAGAAAAAAGAAAAAGTACAACATTTATATTCACAATTGGAAATAAAAAAAAGAAAAATGAACAATTAATTACATCATTGTGCCAGTAATGCTTTCTTTGCTTTACATGGTCTGCCTCTTTTTCTTTTTGATCCAATATCCGCGTTATTGGTACTTGACCCATACATCTGTAGACCTTTATACCAACCATTTTTTGATTAGAGCCATTCACTTGAAAAATATTGAAGAAATTTTTCTTCACTCTTCCATTTTTTCAGAAATAGTTTTGTAGCAACTTCAAATGTTTTTTGACTGTTTGAGAGTTGTACGGTATCAATATCATCCATAATTTCATTGTGCAAATTTTTATCTTCTATTAAATGTAACTTCTTTTGTACTCGTTTCCGCATGTGAGACCAGCACATGACCATGTTATGGTCTTCTCCAAATACACTTGAAAACGCATTTCTAATAGCTTCAGCACCATCGGCAACCAGTACTAAATTTTGTTCGTTCATGTTCATGTTTAAATCTTGTAAACCATCACGAATAGACATAAATATGAATTCAAAATCTTTCTCTGCCTCATTAGAGCACACTGCAAATCCATACGGATGAAATTGTTTGATCATATCACCCAGGTAAAAGCAGAGACAAGAACGATTGGAAAAATCCTAGATAAAAGCAGAACAAATTATTGTTTAGTTAGTTTAATTATTGCCCACTTATTTTATTTTATTGCTCATTCAGTATTATTATTGCCCGTTTAGTATAATTATTGCTCAATCAGTATAATTACTGCTCAGTCAGTATAATTATTGCTCATTGAATTTCTTTACCGCTAAACTTGACTATTGCTCATCTATATCATTTTATTGCTCATTTAAATTTTAGTCATTTTTGATGATTATATATATAAACTTTTGCTGTTGACATTTGTTGAAATCATCATTACTTCGAAGGTTTGGTTTTAAATTTCGCGAACGGCTGTTTTCAGCAGAATCAACTAAGATGATGGAGGCTGAGGGAAATTGTTGTTTAAAATGATTCTCAAGTTGATTTGGTCTTCTGTTTCAAACTTGATATTTATATTTATTACAATCACTTATCTGTAAATAATTTTTTAGTAGTCGTTGAAACGACTAATTTGGTAACGTTGTACGTTAACGCTCGGTAAATTATATTCATTATGTGATACCGGACCTCTTTCGATGATCAAGTTCAACAAAAAAAGAAAACGTATTCTCTCGAGAACAACTCAATATAAACCAAAAGCGACGTTAGAAACATAATCTGTTGTTTAAGATTTTTAAGTTTTCTTAAACAACAAGAAAGTGTATGGTATCAGTGCAGCATACAGAAATTATTTGAATGAGTAGTTCGTTCGCTGAAGGTTTCATTTTACTGGAGAAGTTAACAACGCTTGTGTCCAATATTTCACTGTGTATATTTTTCGCAGTCATTTTCTGCTGACTTAGTTATCCTCGCATTTTCTCTTGTATCCTAGCAGGATTGCAACTGCGTCTCCTGCAGATTATGGTGGAGTTTGAAGATGGAATACGTTTCATGTAATAGCGATGTTTTTATCATGTTTGCGGAAAGAAAAGAGAAAAATATTACTCGCCATTTTGTGCGTTCTACAAGAGAAAATGAAACGTTTGTTCCTTTCTGTTTCGTTCTGGGTCTTTTCCTGGTGTGATAAAAATATGTCATTTATATTTTTTTTATTTAAGCAGAACACTATGAAGCAATATATCTTGTGAATAGAAGATTTAACTTACGTGAAAGTGTGAGAAAAGGTAAATTTATGGCATCAAATTCGGTTATATCTACTGTCTCTCTCACACCATTTCCCTTTGAAACAAAACGAAATGCTGTTACAGATGATTACGAGGTGAAAAATGAAGCACTAGGGG